GTTTTTAACGCTTTTTGATTTTCTTTTGTTTCAGGTTATTTGAACTGCAATATTTAACTTGGGAAGCTCAGTGTATTCATCAATAGAAACTTAAATAAATAACTGACCTAGTAAAAGTGTCTAGTTCCTTTTTTGACAGTGTGATTTTTAGTTTGAAACCTGATTCAATCAAAATGACTGCGCTTAAGACGCGTCAGGCGGATAGTGTTTACTTAATTGGTGTAAAGGACTTAGAACCTCTAACTAAGAAGAACCAACTTCCTACAACAAAAGAAGTATTATTAAGATTTCATTTCTTTCTAAGTGAAAAAAAATCAGTCAGAAACGCTAGTCATATCACAATTGAAGAATTGAATGAAGTTTGGAGCAAAGCCCTAATCCCGACTAAGTATACCAAGGATTCGATTGAAAAACTCGAAAGTGTGCATTCGCAGTGGTTACTTCTAAAGAAAAATAAAGGCAGAAAAACAGAAAAACAAAGAAAAAACGAACAATTATTTGTAGAAAAAATAGAAAAACTGTTTGATATTGCTCATTCAGATGCTCTAATCCTCATGAAAATACAACAAGACAAAGATTTCTTAACTGACCAAAGAACTGAGAGAAAAATGATCATTTCATCTCAAGACAAGGAGTATACTAAAAAGCAAGAAAGATCACTAGACAGATTTCAAAAAGAAGAGATAAGAAGAAAAAAGTCTTTTTCTGCTGCCGAATCCACATCCTCTTCTATTAATCCACCCGATGATGACTCAAATGAGAGCCCAGTTGCCGAAAGCAGTTCAGAAAATGGTTCTGATGATGAATTATATCAACCTTCGACCAAAAAAAAGTTAGAACAAGTTTTAGTTGGCAAGAGTGAAGATGTTTCTGAACCAAAGGCTAAGAAGAGCCTTTTTGACATGAATGTGGCAGGGGCTTTAGACAGAAATAAAATTTCCGATCGTGAAGCTGTGAGGATAATTATTCCTATTGCCGCTGCACTTGGGCATGATCCTGCAGCATTGCCACTTTCAAGAAGTTCTGTAAAAAGAAAACGAGAAGCAGCAAGGCAGAATTTTTCAACAGAGATGAAATCAAACCTAGACATCAAAGCACCAATTGTAGTTCATTGGGACAGCAAAATCTTGCCCGATATTTTAGGTGCACAAAAGGTTGATAGACTACCAGTCCTAGTTTCCTATGCTGGTGGAAATGAGAAACTACTGGGAGTGCCAAAACTGGCTCAGGGAACAGGTGCTAACACTGGAGATGCAGTACTTGAAACTCTTAAAACATGGGATCTCGATGACAAAGTCATTGGTATGGGCTTTGACACAACAGCTGTCAATACTGGCGTCAAGAATGGTGCATGCACTTTCATTGAAAAAAAGTTAAACAAAGAACTTCTATGGCTAGCATGTCGCCATCACATAATGGAAATAATTTTGAGCAAAGTATTTACATTATGTTTGGGACCTTCAAGCTCTCCTGAAATACCCATATTTAAAAGGTTGAGGGAATCATGGAATGCAGTTGATCGATCAGATTATACACCACTAAATTTTCCTCCTGGAGAAGCTGAGTTAAAAAACAGTGCCATCGAGTCCCTGCTACCACATCTTAGTAAGAAAGACCAGCCTCGAGATGACTATCTAGAATTAATTGAACTGACGCTATTGGTGTTGGGACAACCACTAGAAAAGATTCACTGGAGAGCACCTGGGCCAATACACCACGCTCGATGGATGGCTAAACTTATCTATGCATTTAAATTGTACCTTTTCCAAGGCCAAGAAGTTTACAATCTCACGAACAAAGAAAAAGAAAACTTAGAAAGATTTGTCCGTTTCGGAGCTCTTTTGTATGTGAAAAACTGGGTTGAGGCTCCAATCTGCGCCAACGCAGCTTCCAATGATCTGACCTTTTGGAAAGAGGCTGGGAAATACAGCTCAACTGATGAAGATATAGCTAAAACCACCCAAAAAGCCTTGCAGCCACATTTATGGTACCTATCCGACGAACTGATCGGATTGTCACTTTTTTCCAAGAAAGTAAGTCTTGAAAACAAAGTGAGTATTTTGAGTAAAATGTCTGTCCCTGCACCACCCAGGATGATTAGAGGAAATTCCAATTTACTCAGTGATGAATGTGAATTGGCAGATTTTGCTAATAGCAGAACAATGTTGTTGTTTGACAAGCTAAACATTAACAACAGCTTTTTAAACAAGCACCCAAGTGAATGGGAACAGGAGCCAGAGTTCAAAGCGGCAAAAAATATAGTGAATGAAATCAAAGTGGTAAACGACATCGCAGAAAGAGGTGTAAAGCTCTTCCAAGATTTTAATAAACTCATAACAAATGATGAGGAGGAAAAACAACTGTTGCTGCAGATTGTAGAGGCAAACCGAAAACAAGTCCCGACTGAACCAACAAAGAAGGCCGTTCTAGAAAGCCTACGGAAACCATCCACTTCCAACGACAAAATTTAAAGACTTAATTTTTATTATGGTCTACATAATGAAATGTCCTTATTTGTAACACTATTTTACATGTAAATTAATCAAATAAATTTAGGTTTTTGTATCCTAACATGCCTTATAATTTTTTTCAAAAAATGTGAAAAAATTCCCGTTTTAATTTTTTTAAACAGCATTGAGCACTGCCTTATAAGTGACTTATGACCTTAAGATTTTGGCTCCATCCTTATTTTATCAAATAGAAAATAATTGGGGGGTCCCCTGACTTTTACATTCAACTTGAGTTTTTACCATAAGATCATGGACCACCCTACCCTACAGACGGGGACGGTAGTGGCGTCCAGTAGACCTATCCATTAATGGCTGCCAGTAATTGTCCGCCTACTGTCTACGTGTGATGAGGTACTGGACGCTTCAACGGCCAGTAAAGACAAAATAGTTTGAGTTTACTGGCCGCTCAGAGGACAGTGGTGTGGTCACGTGACCTACTGACAGCCATTTTTCCTAACCTTAAATGTTCTCGTCGCAATTAGATTAGAGCAAGAGCACTGAGGAAACTGTTGTCGGTCCGTGATTTCCGAAAGAAATGTACAATCTAGGCCTATTATTAAGTTTTAACCTATAACTTATAGACGCTGGACACATTCATTTAACTTACTCCAGACATGAAACTTGAAATTGTGTTTGCTGATACTCGAAAAAATATTGGGAGTGATTGATAGGAATCACCATTGGCTAAAAATCGGACTGGAACGGGGGTGTATGGTGGGTGTTTTATGGGGTAAAAATAGGGTTTTCCCATTTTTGACCCTAAAAACAAAAATTTCACAATTTCTTTCCAAACCATTTTGTGTAGCTTAAAAAACAAATAATTAAGCATATTGAAGCGTTATTGTGTGCCTAATGGTTACGGAGAAAATTCCAAAAAATTTTAAATTTAAAATTCCCATGTGATTTTTATATGTTTTTATGTGTTATTTATGTTTTTTGTTTGTGTCCAACAGAGTAGAGGGGGTTTTTAGTGAGTAGTCTGTGATAGATTCAGGAGTCTCACACTACAGGCTGGCTACCTGTGTGCGTAAAAGCATTTTCCTTTTTAAGAGTTGTTAGCCTCCGGATTACGTTTGAATATTTATAATGGTTTAAATACCTGCATTCAGTAATCCATTATGCTGCTTGTGGCAACTATAGTTTCGGTTCACAGGGAACCATCTTCAGGCCGTACAAGGCGTCGTTATTCACTTCCATATATGAAGGTCGTCATAAGTACATAGAACACGAACACACAAAAACACACATTGACACGAACATTTAACATTAAAAATACCGAGTACTCGGGAACACGAGACAGGTGACGCGACCGGGTGGAAGTTGTAACTCGGAGCTAATAATGAGTATTACCATTCACTAACAGGTCGTTCCCAGAGAACTCATATTACTCGCAACTACGCTGGTCAACAGTTATGTTAAATTGTATAACGACTAACGAGTTTCTTATTGAACTATATTGTAAATATTTTCAATATAAACTGTTCATCTGTATAGGCCTACAAATTTGTCTAAGTAAATTAAATTATGAATGAAGAGTGAACGTCTACCGAAGAAAAATTACATAAACAATTACTTTAAGAATGTCAATACTGTAAGTTGAGAGTCTTCATCACCCTAGGTGTGGCTGCATTTTGGAGGGATATAGCCTTGTGTGGGCAAGGAAGTGTGGACGCAGGACTACAAACATACAAGGACTAGCCCAGTCCCTTGAAGTGAACGCGTGCCGCCTGATGCTGCCCCGCCCCATCGATCTCTATTATTACTACAGCTGGATCGCGCGCTGCACTGCTCAGAGATACACACGTATCGGTCCGCCGCTCCCCCCACCACGCAAGGGTGTTACTGTCTCTCTCTTACTCATTACGTCTTATGGAGTTTCCGCGTTTGTGCTCACAAAATACGCTATATCTCTGTTCATAGTGGCTCGATTGTCAATTTGTTTACACAGTTGTAATCTGCATGAAATTGCGGAGATTATGGTATAAGTTTCATATCAAAATAATTATTTTTAGATTATATTTATACTTAAATCTATTAAATACGGTTTGTTGATGCCGCTTTTTAAATTAATTTTATGAAGTTGTTATCATTGTTAATGATTAATTAACTTAATTTAGCATACACACTTATGTTTTTAATGTTTAATCTTGTGTTTTTTATGCATTTAACATGTAGGAGAGGACCCATGCTGATCCGCAGCTTTAAAATAAATATATTATCCAAGAAAATCAAATTTATGATTTTTGATTGAGTAATACAGTATCTTGAGCTTAACTTATGCAAACGATCAATAAATCAAATTAAAGCATATACGTTACTGATTATTTTGAGTCCAGAACATATCAGTCCAGCTCCGTCCGCCGAGCTGATAAGACCTCTGCTTATCTCTCTGTGCACGTTTGCCTAGTAGTCTATACTGTGCAAGCATCAACAAGTTTCTAAAAGTGAATCTTTTGATTTCAAGCTGTTAGTTTTGTGCTTTTATTAATTATGTCGACCTGTGGCGTCTGTAGGAAGTGTTGTGAAGGTGTTGGAAACTCTGTTAAGTGCACCGGTTGTGGTAGTGTTTTCCATGCTGACTGCATCAAGAAGCAAGATGGTGAAACAATTAAGCCACGTGCGTGCAAAGATTGGAAGTGTAGAGACTGCAAACAATCTGCGGTAAGTACAGGCAGTGGCTCTTCAACGACTACAACTTCAATAACAAAAGAGTTTTTCTTAAAAGTCATGGAAAATGTCAAAAATGAGATCACCAATGAACTTAAAGGTGTGAAAAAGGAGACTCTTGAGTTAACCACGTCAGTGCAGCACCTGTCAGATACTGTCGACGGTGTAGTTAGTCAGATGAATGATTTTAAAAAGGAAATTATGTATATTCGGAAGGAAAATGAAGATCTGCGTGCCAAAAACAATACATTAACCTCACAACTTGGAAAATTAAATGATAGGATACGAGATTTGGAACAGTACAGCAGAACAAACAATGTGGAAGTTAGTGGGATTCCAAAAACTGCTAATGAAAACGTCAAATCTTTAGTGAAGGACATTGGATCAGCATTGGGTCTGGAGGTGGAGACAAGCAGCATCGCAGCAGCCCACAGAATCCCTTCGTACAATAAAACCCGAGTGCCATCCCTGGTGGTACAGTTTACGGAGAGGACAATGAAGGAAGCATTTATCAACAAGTTTAAGGAGGCTAGGGCAAGGAATGAACACCTCACGGCTGATAAAGTGAACAACACCTTTCCCCGGGACAGAGTGTTCGTGAATGATCACCTATCTCCAGAAAACAAGATCTTCCTATCCAAGTTGAAGCAGAAGTGCGCTGAAGTCGGTTACTCTTTCGTATGGTGTCGAGGTGGGAAATTCTTTGTGCGGAAATCTGAAGGTGAGAAGGCGATCAAAGTGAGTACCTACGAGGAGATAGTAAAGATCAAATAACTGTTCTTCAGCTGTACCTAATTTCTGGTTTTATAAGGATTTTGAATGATTTAAATTTTATTAACTTGGTTTGAAAACTAAAACATGGTAGATACAAATTTAAATAATTACGAAACAAACTTATCTGTCTTTTATGACACTGAAATTAACATTACTTTTAATTTTATATATGCAAATATAAGATCTTTAAGAAGAAACTTTAACAACTTTCTAGTAGAATTAAACAGTATTAAAAGCAAAATTCATTGTATTGTTCTTAGCGAAATTTGGATCAAAGATGATGAGGTTAATCTATATAAAATACCTGGATTTAATAGTTTTGCTCGTTGCAATGACACTTACAGAGCTGGAGGTGTAATTTGTTATGTAAATGAAGAGGCCAATGTATCACAAATTAATATTGAAATGATTACAGCTGATGTTATGGTTCTGAAGTTAAAAATAAAAAACACATTTTTTAATGTTTTTAGTATTTATAGATTGTTAATGTACTCTGAAATTACTTTTATAAATGAATTATCTGATAAATTAATTGATTTGAAAAATAATACTATTTTTATAGGAGATGTGAATATTAATTTGTTAAATTCTAGTCATAATAATGTACAGAACTACCTTAGCTTGTTAAATAATCATGGTTTTATATCTGTTGTACATAACCCAACTAGAATTACCAACACTTCTAAAACGCTTGTTGATCATATTTTTATCAGACATGCCAATTTAAATATAGGTATTCAATAGTGTAATATTTGATATAGGATTAACTGATCACTGTTTATTAGGTTTAAAGATGTACCATTCAAATAAGAGCATTATATCAAAAGAACATGATAGTTCATTCTATTTTCAAAACACTGTGAACTATGATTTAGTGAAAAGAAAATTAGAAAGTGAAAACTGGGAAGAATGTTTCATTACAAATGATGTAAATTATAGTTACAACATATTTCATGAAAAACTAGCGTCTATTGTAAGTAATTCTATGCTAAGCCGTAAACAAAACAGACTACATAAGTCAAAATCTTTCAGTCCCTGGATAAATTCAAACTTGATTAAAAGATTAGATAAGCGTAAAAAATTGTATGCTATACATAAAAAAAGACCTTATGACTTAACTTTCAATAATTATTTCAACCGTTTCTGTGAAAAATTACGAATAGATATAGATACAACAAAAAATGATTACCTAACAAATAAAATTAATAACTGTAATGGTGATTCAGCTCAATACTGGAAGGTAATCAATAATACAATAGGCTGGAAGGATTGTAAGAGTGTCACAAAGATTGAGTTAGATAACGGCACTGTTATAAGCGATCCAAAACATGTGGCTGAAGAAATAAATAGTTACCTAATCTCAGTGCATGACCTTGGTCAAGGTCATGGGTGTCCACTCCCTCCCCAGCCCCAACCATTGCACTTCCAACCACATTCCTTTTACATTACTCCAACCACTTACAATGAGGTTTTAAGTATTGTTAATAGCTTAAAAAACAAAAAGTCTACTGGCTTTGATCATTTTACCGTTGATTTAGTCAAGAGAATCTGTGAATTTATAGCACCTGTCCTTGTTCATATAATTAACTTAAGCTTCTCAAGCGGTATATTTCCTGAAAAATTAAAATCCAGTGTAATTGTTCCGATTTATAAGAAAAGTTCCTCTACAAAAATTGATAATCTAAGACCAATTAGTTTGCTATCAGTTTTTTCCAAAATCATCGAGAAAATGAGTTTCATAATTAAAAGTAAGTTGATAAAGTCCTTCATCTGAAAACTTATACGTATGCATATAAGTTTGTATGAGTATATCAATATAGGGGTATATGATTTTGGGGGAGACTCGACACTTTTTAATTATTACATTTGGAGAGTATTTGATGTTATTTTGAACAACAGGTCACTCACAAGAGGGTTACGCTTTAAGGCACCCTAAAACCCTCACAACTATGAAAAACCTTTATCGATGTAAATTTTTTAGGCAAATATATTAAGCAAGCATATCAATATGCAAATATATCAATATGCAAGCAAACTGATTAAGAGGGTCAGGACTTTTTTGATCATAGATATTATAGACTGTTAAACCCAATGAAACATATTTCTAACCTGGGAACTAATGTTGCTTTATGTTCTTTCACTTAGAGGAGGTTCCGCATTCAGACACTTGAAACATTCCTCTTTGTTTGGTACTTTTAAAATTTTTGTTTGTTTTCGGAAGTGCTTTAAGAGTGCTTCGGTTTCTGATGTAGTGCAATGTCGTTTTATACTAGAGGCCTTGCGCTTCTTTGTTTTAGTTGTTGAACTAAATTCTGCAGTTGTGTGCTGCGTAACGTGTTGTGGTGATGGGTTTTCTGTTGCCAAATTCAGTTCTGCCGTCACTGATTTCTGTTGTTCTGTAGGAGTTATACCTTTATTGTCATTATCACGGTCAGACACTAATTGAGTTTATATTGTTTCTCCCGAGAATATTATTGATGTGAGCCCCAATAGGCGCTCACGGACACACACAAAGACACAAATATATATATATATATGTATACTTTTTTATTCTCTGACTTTTGTTTCAAATTTTTTTTGTACATTTTGAATTTTCTGTAATTTTATTGTCCTGAATAACTTCTTGACCAGCAATGTATGTCATTCGAGTATCGGTCCTGATAATGATTGGAGTGTCCAATCAAAATCACCACTGGTCATCATCATCTTTTATATATACTGTATTTACTGTATATTAGTATATAGTTATTAACAGTATAAGTCTAAAAAATGTACGTTTGAAGTGGACATATTTGAGTTTCTTTCCGTAAATGTTCTAGAAAGGCCTGATACAGCTTTATCGTAATATAATTATGTTAAAGCTCAATAGAAGTTAGTCCACGTTGAACTACATGTGGTTTAGTGATCATGTATACATCATGCGTGTGTGTTATCTTTTTACAAGGGTATACATATTTAATTATCAATATATAGTATTTTTAAGCACACAGACGTTGTATTTTCCCCATTCCTCAGTTGGATTTGTATTGTTCTCGACATACAATTCTATTATGTGATTTGTTTTTAATTTCGGATAGAAACACCACCCTTCTTCAGCATTCAATTATATCAAGGAAATAATCCATCCGGCACTATTTTCTCAGGAAATTTTACGATTGTGTATTAGTATTGTGAAGTGGGCATCTTTTCCAAAAGAATGTACAAAGACAAAATAAAAGATACAGTTTAAGCCGAAAAAGTGTTTTAACTATAACTATTGAAAAAAAAAACTATAATCTTAAAAAGATAAGAGCAGACAAGTAAGATACAGAGGATGCAAGCATATCGGGCATTTTTAGCTCTGGTATAATCTGGTGGAAATTTACTTTTAACGAGCAAGGAAGAGCCCGAACGGCGATGGCCATATAGCATTTGTTGTAGATTGAATGAATAAAACCATTATAAACTAATTTTGTGATATGAGAGAAACTTCTCTAGTGATGTAGTTCGGAGATAGATTGTCCAATTTAAAAATGCCAAGGGAGGTGTTTGGACGGAATGGATCTCCATAGAAGTCACTAACTTTTTCGAATAGGATTTGACGAATAGGCAGCAGCAGTTATCGGGGGAGGAGTGTGATAGTCTAAATGATTGAAACTGGGACATTTTAAATTGCATGGCTGAATCACAGTTTGTAAGAATAGGTCCTAGGCAATGTGTTTTCATGTACTGCGGTAGGGTGGAGTGGTTTAAACTTGTTTTCATTTTAGAAAAGGGGTGAAAATTGATATCTGCGCTGAATATTTTACCAAGTCTCTTTACAATTTGTTGGAGAGGTTTGTCCCGTTTCCTAACAAGCTTGTTAATTGTGTAAGAAAATTTTCAAACTTAATAGCAAGACATGAGTCTAGTGGTCCGAATGTTGTGGTATTATCATCAATGTGAGTAAGGCCGTGTAAATTATGCGTTATGAATTGTTTTCCATAAATTACTTCAAATGTTTTTACAAAATGACGACAAAGATTTTTTGCATAATCTTTATATACATCACAGTGACGTAAAATAATTGTCATCGACACATGAAGTATTATGAAACGGTTGTAAATGTCTTGGTGATCTGCTGATAAAGTCATTTTTAAGCCAATTGTTACATTCCAACGTTTAAAATCATCTATGGATCTCAGTTTACGACAGAATCCACGAGGAATGTAGGCCTACCTCTGAAGGAAAACTAGTTTTGTTAATATTTATTTATTTATACACAATTTACAATAGCTACAGGTATAAACCCAAAACAGCTATAATGAAAAATAATACAATATTAATACATAGAGTGAAGAACAAAAAAATACAAAAAGTGCACATAAATAGACAATACAAAACCAGTGATGATAATAGTAAAAAAGAGTGAATACAAGTTAATAAAAATGGACAACGTTTTTGAAAATTTCACTTATTTTGGCTGCAAATCTAAAGGGATGGATTACATTACGTAAGCAAAGCGTTTATCTTAAATTCAAACTGCTTAATAGTGTCAGAAAAAACATATATTTTACTATTGTGGACATTTAATAAACGTAAGCCTGTAAAAAGTGAAAAACTGTAAAATTGAACAGTGTTACCACGAGGGATATAAAATAAAATTGACGACCTTGAATTATTATTGTTATTATTTTATTAATATTGTTGCCATTACTCTTGATTTAAATTTGCAAGTAGGCGTGCCAAACCTCCAAGTTGAAAGCGTAGTGCGCATTACCCCTAGGCAAACTAAATGCATATAGTCTAGTGGAAATTATGCTACAAAATGAGGGAGCGCGGCAGTGGTCCGAAAGTCAGTACTCCGAAAGGCACTGGTCCGAAAGAAATTACATGGTCAGGCACTGCTTCGAATGGCATAAGTTCGAAAGGCACTGGTTCGAAAGTCACAACTCCGAAAGTCACTAGTCAGAAACATTTTGTGCATCCAGGCACTGGTCCGAAACAATATGTGCATCCAGGCACTGCTCCGAAAGTTATAA